GAGGAATTGTTAATGTCTTAACTGATACTTCTATACAGAGCAACTAAAATAATCTAAATGCAGCCAGAATATAGCAAGAAATTATCACAAATCAAAATCTGCAGGCTGTTTTTTTTTTTAACTTTAATCCAGCCTTTTATTACACCTATGCAAATAATCTAAGAATACTTACGATGAGAACAGAGTTTTTAAGATAGGTGCTGAGTGGTCATCAGGAAGACTTCCAGATTTAAAATGTGGACTGAATTGGATCAAATGATTACGAAGTACACCAACAGCCTCTTGTGCCTTCGGGTCAAGACTAACTCTGAAAATATCAACACACAATTTGTAAGAGTCTAGCATCTTCAAGAAGTAGATTTTTAAATTACAGAAACTAAACAAACTAAAAAAAGAACCACAGGGTGCAGACAGGAGTGCAGCTCCTAGCTGTAACTCAGAACATTTTATGCAAAGTGTTTTGAATTACAATGTTATCTCAGACCAAATAGAAGATCACTGTTGGTTCCATGGGGGACGGGAATCTAGCTACAGGCTAAGAGTCTGTAGCCAGGTTCCCGTAGTAATGGCCATGGCTCTGCCAGTGCTTGCTGCTTTCGGGTGGGGAGACGGTAGAATGAACTCATTCTTGGGGCTCCCCAGCTCATGCTGAAGGGTGGGGTGGGTGAACTGGAGCCCCCCCAGCTCTGAGTGGGGGTGCTGAATACCCCCCAGACTGAACTCCCTCCATTCCCTTTCCCCTCTTTCATTCTGAAAACAGTGACAGTCTGGGAGCTTGGCAGACAAATTACAAAAGACACTGCATTTTTAAACATCTGATGCCTCATGCAATGTGAGGCCAGATTTTCACGACTGGCCATTTTTAAGTTGTTTTGCAGCCGTGCACTTGTGTTTGGTCATGGCTATAGACTGCTTTCTGTGGCCAGATCAGGCAAAAATTGTGTCACTTGTGTCTGCTCACTTAGAGTCCTATTTAAATCAGCACAAATGACTGCCAAATATTTTGTAAATTATTAATAATCATCATGTCATACCTGAATATTATCACACTTCCTGGTGTTAAATTTTCAAATTCTATTTCTTGAACAAATTCATTGGGACCCTTTATGGCAGTTCCAGCTTGCTTTATAATTTTACTTTCTTTGATCTTACAAAAGAAAATAAAAAATTTGAAACTGTAATTCAGTTCTCCTTTTCTGGTAAGAAATTGCATCATCTATTAACATAGTGAAAAACTGTAGGTACCTGGATATGCTCCCTGATTTCCACTGTGTAATTAGGTAGTCCGTTGATAGCATGCTCATCTTTCTCATAAGGGCTAACATCTCTCTCAACAGTTCTAGCCTCTAGTACTACCTCTTCAATTTTGCCTACAAAGAGGGTTATATTAAATTACTGGTTAAAAAAAAAAAATGGTAACTGAATAGGAAAAAGTCTTTTCTTCAGGCAAGAACTTACAAGCATGTAGAGACCTGAAATATAGAAATGCAGGCCTAGATCTGTATAAATTAAACCAGCAAATACATCTAACAAAATATAAAAATAAGATAGATCAATATCAAGTAAAATAATATTTTATTGTTCTGGATAGTGAATCATCTTAGTTATCTGACTAAACTTGCTCACTGTACAGTTACAGATCACAGTATAAGCTAAACTAGTTTTTTGCTAATTCATGCTAGATTACAGTGAGTCATAAATTACTAACAGCCTGATTGTGCATCACTGAAGTTAATGAGTGAATTGCTAAGAGACATAACATATATTTGAGGGTTCCTTATTAGGCAGCCTTCTGCAATATTTCCCCAACAGCAACCACAGACCTTTTATTTTAAAACAGTACACAACATTTTTGAAAAAGGCAAAGCATTTCCTATGACATTCAAAAAACCTTTACTTTCTCTTTCCATTCAAATATGGCTCCATCCAGTCTTGAAACCCCACGCATATGCTTAATCTTAAGTATGTTATCAGCTCCACTGAATTTGATAAGACTACTGTTATAAAGATCAAACAAGCGCACAAAAGTGTTTGCAGGATCTGGTCCATGCAAAGATCAATATGAGAAAAACAGCTTTTTCAGAAAGGTTATGGCCAGGTCATATTAAACATTCACTTGAATTCAACTTAAATACAATGCTCAATTAATTATCTATATTGCAAGCCTTATAAATAATGTATATGCATATATATGCAAATATACAGATCTTGTGCATTTTGATGAGGCTTTTTAACAATTCTGTAACTTACTTACACACACACACACACACACACTCTCTCTCTCTCTCTCTCTCTCT